ATTGCTCTCATAGTCGCAACAGTCTGTCCGATAGGGTCAGGGCAACAGTAGCTGTAAATCTGTTTTAATATTAATGCCATAAATGACAGAATGCTTGTCCAATGTCGACATTTTAGTAAAATGTGAGGGACTGAATGGTAAATGTAGCCCAACCGTTACGCCATACATATTATTCAACAATATGGTCACCACATCGGACGACATAATTAAAAAATCAGTTTTATTATTATAATCATTTAAAAACGAGAAACATACAAAACAGTAATTCGTCCAGCATACAAAAAAGTTTTTGAAATTTGTTTTTAATATGGATTCATTTATAAAATATTATTTTAATTATAAACTATTATTTAAGTTATTAATGATAACAGTGGACTGAATGGTAAATGTAGCCCAACCGTTACGCCATACATATTATTCAACAATATGGTCACCACATCGGACGACATAATTAAAAAATCAGTTTTATTATTATAATCATTTAAAAACGAGAAACATATGCCTGAACGGTACTTATGTCTCAAATATACTGGTGCTATTTGCAAACAGTTTTGTGTACCCATTTCGCAATTCATGCCAATATATTCAAAGTATTCGTGAATTGTTTTATTTTTATAAACAGATTATTCTTTATTCACGCAAACAGTGACCGAAAGGTTTAGATTATAATCACGAGAATTGCGGTCAAACTTCAAGTCAGTGTTCACTTCGTACTGTAATAATTGATTATTTTGTCATATATTTGGTACACAAACCCTGTTATCATTAATAACTTAAATAATAGTTTATAATTAAAATAATATTTTATAAATGAATCCATATTAAAAACAAATTTCAAAAACTTTTTTGTATGCTGGACGAATTACTGTTTTGTATGTTTCTCAACTATACTTTTGAACACCACACCTAAAATGTTATCATACTCTGTAATACATGTATAATATATAATCGAAAATTGATGCAATATTGCAAACATTTTCTGAGTTTATTAATAATTAATTATATGTACTGAATTAAGGTTGTTTTTATTATTATTTCCAAGTTTATAATAATATTTTGTTAACATTAAAATAAAAAAACATTCCAACATAATATTAATGAAATGTAATATTAAGTATTCAATAACAATTACTAGCTATATGGTATAAATTTAATAATAATAATAAATTATTTATCTGTTTACTTAAAAATAATGCAATATAAGTAAACAGTTCCCATATGTTATAAATTAATTAAAATATTGTACCAAGTACTTTTTGCGAAACAATTCTTCTGCAGATTAAATAATTTTTAAGTACATACGAATTGTTACGCAAAAAGTACTTGGTAATTAATATGATTTGTAATACCAAAAGTTGACATTTTACATAAAAAATGTCTCTATAAAAGCGGTCAATGAGACCGAACCCGTATCTGCAGGACAATATAAATTACATTTTAGGACTCAGCATTGAATTGACTTTCATATCAAAGTAAAAATTACTAGGTACCAACCAATTGCATGACCCTGAAAGTTTTTTTTATACAAATAATACTATACTTTAATACATATACATAGAGATGCTTGCTAATTAATTAAAACTAATTATAATTATTTTTATGTTATATGACTCAAGTGGAATTTAGTTTTTACTGAAGTTGAATCTAATTATGATACAGAATTCTATAATATCTACAGAAATGATAAATTTTACTTTTGATAAGGAACATTCCTTCTTAGATAATATAAAGTTAATCATGTCAAACAAATCTGTCACATATGCCTCATCTGATATTAACTCAGTTGATATATACCTCAACACTGACACAAAAGTTAATAATAAGTTACTGCTATTTATACACTCATCTCATGAGAAACCCGAAAATACCCCCGCTAGATCATGCCATTCATAACACATATTTAATATAAAAGACTTAAAAAGATACAATATTCATCATTGTCAAAACAATTTATTATGTGATTCACACAAATCAAAAGCATAAAAAATTACAAATAGCAACAATTATTTAATTAAATTCTTAAAAGTTTAAATACATCATATATTGTACTACTGTATATAACAAAACACATCCAGCAAATAGTTATGGGATTACCGGCACCGGCAGTGTATTAGTTAACGACATGGCTTATCAGACAAATGTAACATTGCTCATATCAATGGCCAACACCCTGTCAATTCAGGTACGCCTATTTAACCGGGTGTTTGCATACTCCCTTAAGTATATCAAGCAATATTTTAGAGTTAAGTGCTATGTGTATTGCCTCGATACTATGTATATATTCGTAATATTTTTATAAAAATTTATATTATGCTTGCATTTTGTATAGATTATGAGTTTTATATCCATCAATTTAATGTTAATAATTATGGAGTCCATTGTCGCGTGAATAGCATTAATATTTGTATTTATTGCTACTCATTATTCTGGAGCATATAAGTCTAATGTTGACCTTGGTGATTGTTATTAATAGCCTATTATACTGTAAATAAATTCACAATTAATTTTATTAAATTGTACAGAGCATTTATTACTCACCCATTATACTGTATGTGTATTTGAATAATTAGATCTAGGTGATAAAGTGATGATTACCATGTCACTCCCTAACACCCTTTCCACTTGATAGCACCAGTAGTTTGTTTGGGCACATCCGAGCCGAGAGATCATATGTTTCATGGTATCCATTAAAATTCAGCTCTGGTTTGCTTTATGTATTTGGTAGACCCTGGTATAAAAAATCTATGATACTTTAAACTGATGGTGTATTGTGTATTTAATAAAATGAATATTTTGTAGGTATAGTACTATTTGTATGTAATTATTGAAAACTTTAATACACATAAGAAAGTGTTGTTTAGTGTAATAAAGGTATAGTTATCACAGGTGTTGAAGTAATTGCTAAATATTTTACAGACTTTAAGTCTTAATAATTAATTTTTTAAGCAACTAATAAATAAATAAAGCAACTAGTAAATAGGCTTAATTTTCATTTATAATTTTTAATAAAAATTTTAACAATGTTGTTGTAATTTTTATTATTAAAATTTTTAACAATTATAAGGCCATGAAAACAAATAATTACAAAATTATTTTATAAATTATTTTTTAAAATTATATTTTATACTATTTTTTAATGAATGCTAAATAAAATAATTTATTGAAAAAAAATCCAGTAAATAGTTACGCGATTACTCGCACAGGCATTGTCTTAGATAATGACATGGCTTATCAGAAAAATATAACCAAGCACATGCCATTGCCCAACACTATGTCAATACAAGGGTTATTATTTACCGATATGTTTGTTAGTATAGTTAAACAACATTTTACAATTATCTATATTGACAATTTATGTCTTGAATACAATAGTGTAATAGTTTATGGCATTCAGGCAATTAAAAAAAATATAATCAATTAATATAATTATTTTGTCCCTGAACACCTTTAAACGTCCATCGTCTTGTCCTTAGTCATTGTTTTTAAATTGTGTGTATATATGACTATCATGTCATTCTCTAACACGTGTTTTAGCACAGGTGGTTGATTGGGATCCACATGTCCACCCTTACCACTGATTTGTTTAATTGAGTTGATTGATTCAGCGACATACATAACTGACCAAGCACAGTATTGTTTGTTTTATCTTAAATGGAATAATAGCTTATTATAAGATAATTAATAAAATATTTATTTATATTTGTTGTGATTTTATAATAAGTTTACTACTCATAAGAAAGTGTTGTTTAGTAATAGAGTACAGTATAGTTAGCACAGGTGTTGCAGTATATGCTAATAATTTGTTAGTTTTTAGTTTTAATTAAGATTTTTAATAAACTTTTAATTGGTCTAACATTTAGTTTAATTATTAATATAAATCTTAACATTCAATAATACTTAAACATTATTATTATTACATAATTTATTGTAATCATAAATAAAAACTAAATTAATGTAATGTATAACAATATTAGTTTTATTTAGATTAATTTTTCAATATTTATTGATAGTATCAGTGAAAATGACTTAAAACTAAAATTTAGTTATTTACCGAAAGTTTTCGGTCAACACTGTGATCATCATCAGGGCTAAGATGGTATGAGATATGAGAATGAGTTTCACTAATGAAATACATTTGAAAACTGAAGTCTACGCCAACGATGGTATTGTTGTATTTGTTATGAATTAAACTTTTTTTTAAGAATCGATGCCAAACATGAGGAATGGCTTCACCACTATTTCTGTTTAATAAGTCGTTTTGATTTGATTTTCTGATTTCAATTGACTCATAATACTTTCGGTCAAACTCTTTATAACAAGTTTTTATACCCTTAGCGTCAGTCCAATCAATCGAATGGTTAGTATTAACTGTGTGTTCAGCGATCGGTGAGATGTTTGTGTTTTGATTTCTGACTGCTTTCTGGTGCTTCTTAAGTAATATTAGTTTTATTTAAAGTTTTATTCATCAAATACAGAAGTGTCATATAACTAGCACCGGTAGCATGTTAGAGAGTGACATGGCTTTAAAATACAATCATGATCTAGCTCATTCCACACCCAAACACGCTATTGGCATAGATTACTATTATCCATCAAATCTGCAAATGAGATAGGTACATCCATTCCGTGGACATTGCTTTTATATCCAGATTATTTTATATGCTTTTATAATAATCGGGGTGAATCCATTCAGGTGAAATAAAATAATTAAACTTATAACAAAAATTTTTAAAGCACCGGTAGTTTCTATAAGCATTATCACATATTCCCTGATGAATATATAAATTGCATACAATTTACACAAAAATTTTTGTTTTAATGTTTGTCTCATCTCATGGTATCTAGTGATCGGATAAATTACAATCAAGATTTCACAATAATAAACAATTGAGCCAGGTATAAATGCACTTAATATTTATTGATTTAAAACAAAAAATAAAATAAAATTTTAAAACAAATTTTCAGAAATCAATGTTTAAACTTAATTTAAAAACAAACAATTAGGCACCAATTGCAACACTACCAGTCCCATTAACACCTGTAATCGGAGCTACGGGAACGGTAGCATTCAGTTTCTGACGGAGACTATTGAAAAACTGGGGCACATCCGTATTCCTAATCGCTTGGAGCACCTGTACGTCAGTGGCGTTACGTTTTGTTTCAAACCCGATGGCGGCGTCGAGATAACGGTTCACCCATTGCTCCAATCGGTCCATCCTTTGGAGTATCTCCTGACGACTATAGGGGTCGCGTCGGAAGGGGAACGGCAACTGAAATCGCGGGTTGAGTCCAAATAAACCGAATGACGGGCCACGACCGGGAAAACCTGGGTATCCTGTCGTAAATTGTTGGCCTATGATTAACAAGCACAATTAGTATTCAGTTTAAATGCATTAAAAATTAGTTAATGTGTATTATAATTAGTTTTATTATTTAAAAAATTATTAATAACTAAGAACATATAAATTATAAATATAATTTAAAAAAATATAAATTGTATTAATAATACAAATGTTTAAACCTTAAATATATTGATATAAATTAGGCTTAATTTTAACTCTAGAATTTTGATGATACTTACAGTCAGTAATGTTAGCTGCCATTACAATAATAAAAATAGCGCTGATCATAATAAACTTCATTTTTAAATGTTAATATTATTTAAAAATTTTAATAATTTTTTAAAAAGTGTTTATTGAATTATTCAATTGGTTTATAAGTTTTGAACAAATATCAAGCTGTTTATATACCCTATTGATTTTAATTTTGTGATATTGTTATGTCAAAAACATTTGTCAATTATATCATGATTTGTGAGACAATTATTATTAGGAAATATAATATCGTAATTGTTTTTTGTGTTAATTGTCTGAATCACAAATATTTCACTGAATTTTCGTAACAATTATATTATTAATAATGCGTAAATAAATAAATAATTTTATTAGAAATAATTTATTAATTTTATTGGCTTAACTTTTATTTATAAATTTTGATACCAATGTTAACAAAGTTGTAATAATTATTATTAAAAGTTCGTGGCTATTATAAGGGAATTAAAACATTAAATTACTTTATTTTATACATTAATTTTTACAATTTTATTATATATATTTTTTAATAAATAATTTTATTTAAAAATTTACTAGATATACATCAATAAATTAATACAATAAAATTTTTAATTTAAATGTATTTGAATTAACATCATTTTACATATTTAATATAAATGACTTAGTAATTCAAATATCAATCATTATAAAATAACTTTTATTATGTAGAACACAATAAATTAAAACAGTTATTAATAACAATTTATTAACACTATTTATGAACAATTAAGTTTTAAGCAACTATTAATAGGCTTAACTTTTATTTATGGTTTTTAATACCAATGCTAACAAAGTATTAAAAGTTATTTTTAAAAACACGTGGAAATTATTAGGGAATTGAAACATTTATTTACAACTTTTTTACAATATTATTTTATACAATTTTTTAATGGATGCTAAATAAAATATTTTGCTTAAAAACAAATCCAGTAAATAGTTACGCAATTACTCGCACAGACATTGTCTTAGACAATGAGATGGCTTATCAAATAAATATTACCTAGCACATGCCATTACCCAACACCATGTCAATACAAGGATTATTATTTACCGACTTTTACTATGTTTGTTAGTATAGTTAAACAACATGTCCCTAAACACCTTTACATTCACCAGGGTCTTGTCCTTAGTCACTGTTTTTAAATTGTTTGTATATATGGCTATCATGTCATTCTCTAACACGTGTTTTAGCACAGGTAGTTGATTGGGATCCACATGTCCACCCTCACCACTGATTTGTTTAATGGAGTTCATTGATTTAGCGACATACATAACTGACCAGACACAGTATTGTATGATTACTGGATTGTAAGATAATTAATAAAATATTTATTTATATTTTTTTGTGATTTTATAATAAGTTGACTACACATAAGAAAGTATTGTTTAGAAATAGAGTACTGTATATATATAGCACAGGTGTTGCAGTATTTTCTAATAATTTGTTAGGCTTTTAGTTTTAATTAAGATTTTTAGTGAGCTTTGAATTAGTCTAATATTTAGTGGAATTATTAATAAAAATCTTAACTTTTATATTTATTTAGTTTTGTAATAATTTAATTATTATGTTTGTTTTTAATATTACATTTAAATTAGGGAAAATTATGTTCAACAAACAACATTTTTCAAATTTTTATTTAAAATATAAACATTATTATTATTATTATTACATAGCTAAACAAATAAATTAATGTACTGTATAACAATGTTTGTTCAATTTTAAAGTTTATTTATGAAATACAGAAGTGTGATTTAAACGGCACCGGTAGCATGTTAGAGAGTGACATGGCTTTTAAATGCAATGATGATCTAGCTCATGCCACACCCAAACACGCTATTGGCACAGATTACTCTTTTTCATCATATCTGCATATGAGCAAGGCACATCCATTCTCTGGATATTGTTTCTATATCTAGATTATGGGTGGTATTTAAAATACTCATTATATTTGCCACTCAGTACTCAATGCTTGTAAAATTAAATAATAAATTACTTTAAATAATACAGTATTATGAGTATTATTAATAATCTGGATATAACACCAATGTCATAAGAATAGATTTGCCTTTTATATATGTTTTTATGATAATCATGGTGAATCCATTCAGCTCCAACATTTAACACACATCTTAAACAATAGGTATATCGGGGTTACCCTGTGTATAGTGCGTCTAGATTTTTCCAAAAATCAATTTTAATAGATAGTGCGCGTACTATAGGGGGTAAATCAAGGTATGTTATCTAGAATGACATGATGGTGCCCGATTAAAAAGATCCACTGCCCGGTAATTGACCATTGCCAACTATTATTAATGCCAATTTTAAAACTGTATATACAAATACTTATTGATATTAAATGCTATAAATTAATTGTAATTTTCATAACACTTACCATAGACTCTGTGTTATATATATTATATTATTTTAATAAAAATGGCACTTTTCGGGAGTCCGTGTTATTACTGGTAAAATGGAAATCCATGTCATTCTCTAACACCATCCCCATGTGGCACCGGTATTTGATTTTGATCCACGAGTCCATCCAAACTCTTACACAGATTTTATAGTGTCTTTTGAATTTGTGGTCAATATTTTGTTTGCTATACATTATTATATAGATTTTGTTATTTAGCACTGGTGATATAATTTATGAGTTTTATCTCATATAACTGTGAATTAATTAATTGTTTTTAAGTATTTTTGAAATTTAATGATAACTTTACTACACATAAAAAAGTGTTGTTTAATATTAGAGATATTGTTAGTACAGGTGTTCACAATTTGTTTATTAATTTTTAAAAATTTTTAAATAAATTTATAATTTAGTTTAACTTTTAGCAATGTTTTATTAAAAATAATTATTATAAATTTTGTAGTTTTCACACGGGTTTGTAAATTACAAATAAAATATAATAAAACTTATAATATAACAATTTTATTTTTAAGGCACCTGTAGTTACTTTATGCATTTTCACACATTCCCTTATGAATATATAAATTGCATATAATTTATACAAACGATTTTGAAAAATTATAGTAAAGGCTTAGCAGAGTATTAAACAAAATAGCCAGGTATAAATGCACTTAATATTTATTGATTTAAATCAAAAAATAAAATAAAAATTAAAAACAAATTTTCTGAAATCCATTTTTAAACATAATTTAAAAGCAAACAATTAGGCACCGATTGCAACACTACCAGTCCCATTAACACCGGTAATCGGAGCTACGATAGCACCACCTTCAATAGTAGTCCCGGTGACGGGAACGGTAGCATTCAGTTTCTGTCGGAGACTATTGAAAAACTGGGGCACATCCGTACTCCTGATCTCTTGAAGCACCTGTACGTCAGTGGCGTTACGTCTAGTCTCGAACCCGATGGCGGCGTCGAGATATTGGTTCACCCGGTGCTCCATTCGGTCCATCTTTTGCAGTATCTCCTGACGGCTGAAGGGGTCGCGTCGGGAGGGGAACGGGAATCCACGACCGGGAAAGCCTGAGAGTCCTGTCATAAAGTGATGGCCTATGATTAACAAGGAGAATTATTATTCAGTTTACTGAATTAGAAATTAGTATATGCAAAATGTTTTAATATGAAATAAGATTATTAATAGATAAGAACATTATAATAAAATATATAATATAATTAGTTAAAGTATATTGATATTAATTAAGTTTAAAATTATATCTAGAATAACCATTATACTATACTTACAGTCAGTAATGTTAGCGGTCATGACAATAACTAAAATAGCGCTGATCATAATAAACTTCATTATTAAATGATGATATTATTTGAAAACTTTAGTAACTTTTTAAGAATTGTTTATTGAATTCCTCAATTGGTTCATAAGTTTTGAAACAATTTCACACTGTTTATATACCCTATTGATTTCAATTTACTGATTGTCCTGTCACAAACATTTGTCAATTATATCATGATTTGTGAGACAATTATTAGTTAAAAATAATTTAGTTTTTGTTTTTTGTGTTAATTGTCTGATTCACAAATATTTCACTGAATTTTTGTAACAATTTTATTATTAATAATAATAAAAACAAATAAATAAATAATTATTTGAAAATGTCATCTAGATATACGTCAGTGAAATAATACATATTGTTATTGTGTTATATTGTATTATTTATTAAATAGGTTCATTACCAGGGTCATTACAACATCATATTAAAAATAAATTATTACCGATAAATAGTTATTAACATAACTTATAAAAATATCTTGGTGTTCACTTTCATAGTGAATCACCAACATGTGTACAGTGTATACATTAATTATTATTTAATTAATTGTCAAAAATTGTTTCACAAAATTTACTGGAAATGTTTACAGTTTTAGTAAAAATAAGTTTAATATAAACAATTCAATATTAATTATTTTTATCATTAAAACATTATAAAATTTATTATATATAATACAATTTGTAATGTCAAAAAATATAATTTTCAAAGTATACTGTAAATTAACCAAGTTTATTAAAAATATATATAATTTTATATTTATAATTTTCAAAAAACTTATTATTAATTTCAAAAATATTCAATAAAACCTTTTGAGATATCAAATATTTGCTACCTTAACAAAATCCCGAAAAACAAAAGCTCGAAAATTATAATAATTCTATAAATAAGTAAAATTACTTTTCCTGAATCTAAAACTTAATTATACTTAATTATCAGTTAGCAATAATTAATTTCCAGTTTATTTGTATTAAAACTCAGCAAATTATTACAATATTGAAAAGTTGATGAGATATTTACTTACGAGTACTACACTAATTAGTTTTTAAATAATTATGCTCATAATATTAATGAGTTTTACATTATATAAAATATAAAATAATTAGTTATATAGATATTATAATTTTCGGGGTTTTTGTTTTTAGGGATTTTGTTTTTGTGATACTTCCGAAATATTTATGTATAAAATAAAACCTTATTTTTACTATCTTATAATATGTATATTTTATCAATAATACCACGATTTCAATAATAGCTAATAATTCAAAACAGGTATTTGTACTATTAATGCATAGAGAATACATATAAATATAACAATATTTACTACATTTATTTTAACAATTAATTTTAACAGAAATTGATTTAATATTTTGTAACATCTATTTTATTAAATTTTAGTTAAACCAATTAAAACATACTATTAAAACACAATCAATTTTGTGAACATAAATTATTTTAACTATGTGAACTATTCATTATTAATTAATATATTAGTTGTGGTAATCAATTGTAAGTCAGTTGTCCCAGTTGCATCCATGTCCTGTGATTCTGAACTATTTTGTTCATGTGAGCCTGTTACAAATTATATTGCTTGATTATTATTTTATTTTAATATTTAAACTAATTGTAAATATTACCTTGATTTTGAAATATACCCTTTAAATCATTCATCAATTTGTTAAACATATAAGTAAATGTTTGCAAGGTCCTTAATTCTTGTTGACTTATTTTGTCTAGGTGACTGCTTGTTATGGAGTTAATTCTTTTATCAATCACATGATCAAGCTCAGTTTTAATAACGTCAAATAAATTATTTAATATAATTAATAATTTGTCTAATTCTTCACATGTTAATTTTTGAGATATATTTTTCATAATCACATTTAAATTATCATTGATATTTAGATTATCATAGATTTGTCCATGGTAATCATAAGGCGATCTACTAGCCAGATGTAGAATAATATTTGAATTAAGTTTGTTCATTTTCAAAATAAACTTTGCGAGTTTAGTTTGAGCCATGTCTAAACTTTCTACTATCCAATCAGTACATTTATCATCCCATGAGTATACTTGGTCACTTAAATGACCTATTGATTGTTGCAGGTCATCTAAAAGTATGATAATATTATTGCCAATTATATCATAGATTTTAAGTTTGTTATTTGATAAATGACTGAATAATGTATTGAGCTGAACACACAATTCATTAAGTTGATCATGATAGTTATTAACCATGTATATATAATTGCCACCAAGTTCACAAAATAAGTTTACCATGTCACAGGTTGTACAATTAAATTGATTTATTATTAAAGTAGTAGGGTGTAAATAATGACCTCGCGGTAAGTTAACACCATTTTGATCAACACCGCCCAATATTGCTTTGTTTGTAATAGCAGGGTTAGATAAACCTTGTTACAAAAGGAAATAAATAATTAAGTTAATTATTTAATAAACACTAGCACTTAATATTACTTACAATGGTATGTTATAAAAATAATTATAAAAATAACTTTACTTATTAGTTCCATAGTTATAAGTTTTTTAAAAATTTAAAACTTAAATTAAGATTAATAATAGTATTTAAAAAAATAAATTTAAGATATTAAGTTCAAAATCATATTAATTATTTAAAAAACACCTGCTATTTGTCAATGAAACTATTTCTGACACCAGGATAGATTTTAGTTTATTTGGTTTGATAATAAAATTGTTTTGTACAGATAATTTTGTTTAATTTTATTAATCAACTTCTAAAATTTATTTAATTAGACTAACTAACTAGCTGATTAGTTTATTCTTTTATTAATATCTGTATATTATTTTTATTATTTTAAATATAATTTTTTAACTATTGATTGTGAATATAAAATTTTATTATAAAATATTGTAACACTACATGTTCATTTAAGATATTTAGCACCTGAATATGATTACGTAGTTATAGTTTTTTTTGTAATTTATCACAAAAGTATTGTGACAATAAAATAATAAGTTTTTTATATGCTTCTATTTATTAATATAAAGCTTATCTATAAATTAATTGAGACATGTCCATTTTCTTTATACTTTTAAATATTGGAGCTGGAAGTGGATTCTTTTAAACAGATATCTAAAATATTTAAAATAAATAAAATTAACATTATAAAAACTTATAATAATATATAACCTTAATAGTCAATTGTCTGGACAGTGTCCTGGATAAGTTGGTCCCACTCTGGCTTAAACACCTCCAGTTCCCTCAACTCTTGTTGAGCGTCAGAGCATTCAGTCCTCTGTCTTAATACAACTATTCTTTGGTCGAGGAAGTAGTCCAGACCCGCACCCACACGCTTTACCATAGCCTCTATTATTAGATCCCGGTGCTTATCATCCTGATCCATGTCGATGTTCAGGGTAAAGTCGCCCAATATATTTGCAATTGAAAGGTTCTCCTCATTTATAGAGTTGCTAGTTTCGTAGTGGAACAGGGTACTAAGTTTATGTATTAAATTATCTAGACTATTTTTGAGGTAATGTAGTTTTTTGGTAAATTCATCATCTGTAGCATTATGATCCAGGTGTAATGACTGTCTAATATTGTGTAAATATTGTACAATATTTTCCTCTACATTTTCCTCTGTGTCTATTAGTTGTTTAAATTTTAGTTTCAAAGTGTCCATGTCCAAATTAGAGTCTACAAATCATAGTTATGTTAAATTTTTAAAAATCAAATATAAATTTGATACCTTGTTGAACTTGAATATTATCTTGATAAAGACCACTAGGTAGATTCACGTTACCCTTATTAGTACTATCAAAAATTGGAATAAAAATAGCCCTTGATGTACCTGGATCATTAAGTGAATTAATATAATAATAAATAAGTATAAGTTTAATTAAAATTTTTTAAACATACTTATGGTCAATGCAAAACAAACTGTTAATAAAATCAACATTTTGAATAAATTTTTATAACTTTATTATAAATTGTAAATTTAATTTAAAAGTATACTTTTTATATTACAGTATATAAACACTTTTAAGTAATTAATCAGTGTAACAATTTTTTAAAATAAGGATATGGGCTAAGCACAAAATTATGTTTACTATACAGTAAATTATTAAATCATTATATTATATTATATATATTTTAATGAATAGAATATTTCTACACAAAAATATTTAAACAGGATCAATTATATAATATACAATAATTTTTACAATAACGTATAATAAAATGTACAGGATATAATATATTAATTAATGATTAAATGTGTTAAGTACAAAATTTCACTTTTTAATTTTTAAAATCATAAAAATAACAGTTTTATGTGATTCCGCGGTTAATTGCGTCAAAAAATATGACTTCCCTTTGGTTTAGGCGCTCCAATTGCCTCACAAACGCACACAAATGAGTCCACAGTTTATTGTCCGTAAAATTACCGCTAATTATATACACATTACCGACCGATAGGTCAGTCGCACCGCACGACTCGGTCGACCTACTCGTGTAGATGTGACCGCTATTTAAGGCTATTTTGACACCACCTGCCGTTCCCTTAAATAGTTTGTGCACTGATATGGTGTACCGTATGAATGGCCTAAAACTACTTGTTGAGTTACCAGTGCTAATCGGCACAACGTTGCGGTTTACGACCATAGCCTGCACCACATAATCGGAAATATTATACATAAGTCCAACATCCAGGTGTCGGCACCGGCAGCCAAGAGTTACACATGTGAAGCAAATTATTAGGAAAATTATATTTAATATTAATTTCATTTTAATAAATGTGGCTGATACTTTAAGTATTTAATTTAACTCGTAGCAAAATTTACTACAATATATACATTTATCTAATATTGACTATAAATTAAAATAAATATATTTGATAAATATAAATATCTAGTTTAATGAATGATAATTAAAAAATTAATTTGTTTATAAAAACAAATATCTAGATTTATTAACCTTGACATAAAATTGACGCAAATATAAAATAAACAATAAATTTAGATTTGTTTTTATCATTGATGAATTATAAATGTTTAATAGTAAATAGCATTAAATATTATTTCAAGTGTTACACAGATTAC